TGCAAGTGTCCAGAGTGAGGACAGACTGAGGGACCCACTGCTGCACATCATCTGTGAGGCTTTGCACCCCTGATGATCCACCGAACTCAACAGTGTGTGAGGAAGAGGAGGAGGAAGAGCCAGCAGCAGCTGACAGATGGAGAGAATAGACAGACTGTTCCCTGTTTGTGAAGGACTGCTAGGAAAGTTTAACATAACTGTCTGTCCTGTTTTCAGTGTGGGAGAAAGTACTCAGGGCCTTCAAGTTACACACTATGAAAGGCAGCAACAAGTGTAATATTCAGAAACCTAAAGTATGTATCAGCAGCAGAATGGAGCTAAAAATAAATGTTTGTTTCAGTTCTATGAAGCTTTGAGTATTTTGGATTAGTAGCACTGCTGTGTTTGTTGCATCATATTGCTGTAATTGTTTATATGCTTTATATATTCTGAGGTAAGTTGATCTATAGTGTTACATCATATTCTATAAGGATGTTATGTGTTTGTATACTTTCTGCCCAGTTTGACCCATTTAACAGAAGTCAGCCTGTTTAAGGCTCTGATATCTATTCTGTATGACTTAAAGCAGTTATGACATGGTCTGATTTTCTCACCCAATAAAGGAATATTTCATATATCAGTCTACTCTTCATTTTATCAGAAACAGTTTTCACAGCTCGTACATTTTCTTTTTACACATATATGTAAGCATTGAGCCAAATTTAGTAATGCCAACATATTAAAAGAACAATATTTGTCTCTTATATATAATACATCTATATATACACTGTCACAGATACTTGTGTTTAAGTGAAGATTTAAGGTGATAGGAAATATAAATAAATGCAACTTGAATCTTTACTGAAGCTCAGTGTTTGGCACAGAGTTCATGTTCACTGCTGTAATAACTAATAATGATTAATATAATATTGGCCATATTATATTTACATTACCAAAGTGAGATGACTTTAGTCTCATGAACAAGATTAGCTAATTGTTATTTACTAGCTAATCTTAAATGACTGTTCAGTACAAAAATGAAGCCCAACAATCATGTTTTACAGTCCCGTGGTCTCAGCCTCAGATACTTATCAAATCACACAAAGCTCATGTAGAAACAAATGTACAAAATATGTTCTCCTTCATTTCTGTCAAACAAAGCTGTATGAAACGTTTCCAGCTGTTAGTATCATGGTTGCTAGGCAACCTGGGCAGCGCGACGGAGGCTAGACCGTCCCATTTCACAAGCCTACAAGCCTCGCACTTCCGGCCTCAGCAGTCTTTGAGTGCGGCCCTTGAGGACCGTTAAGGCTGCGTACTTTAAGGCTGCAGACCCTGAATTGGGAAACAGTCCCTGAATTGGGATACAGCCATACATACATGTTTTGGTTCGTGCAACTGGTCCGTTCGGTTATTGTCTCCCCAGAAACATTTCCGTTGTCTTTTTTCCTATTTCCGTTGTGCTTTGTGTGCTTTTGCAGCATTTTTCTTTTTGCAGCATTTTTCTTTTTGCAGCGTTTTTCTTTTTGCAGCATTTTTCTTTTTGCAGCGTTTTTCTTTTTGCAGCATTTTTCTTTTTGCAAGTGTTTTCTGAAGTTGCAGTCCGTTTGGCCTCTCAGGGCCACCGTACAAAACAATCGAATGAGCTTTCACACAGTGAAAGCCAGCAGCCTCAAGCAATTAATCATCTGCACATTTATTGTATTTTTGTGTCAAACTTTGGTGGCATACAGAGTAAAAATTGCTACTGTCCAAAAAATTTCCAGTTTTGAATCTTTAGGCACATTATTATGCATTATATTTAATACAGAACCATTATTCTATGTGGTTGATATGACATTGCGAGAGAGAATAGTTATTCTTGTAAAGTGTCAGATTTATGTTGTCACTGGTCTTTGTTCTGTCAAGGGGCACTCTCATCTTTGCTCAAACAAGAAGGCTATTGTGAAAATGACAGCAAGAGCACGACAGATATATATCTGTGAGTTGAATTAAATATTCCAGTCAGAAAAAGAGCATGGTAAAAAATCATTTTGGGTAAAGAACTGAACAGCAAAATGTATTTGTGTACAAGAGAATGTTGGTAAAGGTTTAACTCCACAGAATGTTGTATAACATAACAAAGCCTTGAGCAAGTCTGTGAGAGAGGCAGGAAGCTAATAACAGTGAGCAGACAGAAGAGAGGCTGAGCACCCATGATGTCATTGACTGTGCTTGTCGGTACTCTCTCCCCCTCCCATTCCCATCCATTTCTCCTTGCCTCTCTGCATCCTTCCATCCTTTACGTAACTGTCAGACAGCCTGGGAGTGGCAGGAAGGAGGAGAGGCAGAAGCGGAGAAAGAGATCAAGCAGCTGTTAGCAATTCCGGATTTGGCTAACTATCCACACGGCATCCTTCCATTTAGCAGGTACATCTTATATTTTTGTGATTTAGTTCTTTACTGTTGTATCATCTAGTACCTGCAGTGCTGCAGTGAGAGGGCAGTAGAAATAATCTTGAAAAAAATATATATATGGAAAGATTACATGTAATAATAGCTTGATGTATATTTTTACACCCACCAGCACTGGTAATTATTATTATTAATTTTTTTTTTTTTTAGGATTATTCGCAAACTGAGATGACGCCATACTAAAATGCATTAGTTTTAAAGTGTTCATTAAAACATTTTCTGTGCTATTTGTTTTTATGGTTATTTTTATATGCAGTGAATATTTAATATAAATTTCATATCAGTGTAGCTCGATCAAAAGCCACATTTGGTAACACTTAACTCATGAATAAGTAAGTGTCAGTGAGTGTGATGGAGAGACGGGGCAGAAGAGAAGGAGAAGGAATGTGTTTGTTCATTCACTATAGACTGAACAGCAGAGAAGCCATTTGGAAATTGAGTTGATTGAATTAAATGGGCTTGAGCGCAGTTTTAGACACACTAGCATGATGATGGATACACAGTAAAAGTGTGTGTGTAAGACAGAGAGAAAATTAGATGCACTATCTTGGCAGCTATGTCTTGGCAGGCCAGCAGCCAGTTAACCTATAGTTATTACTTTTTTTTTTTTTTTTTTAAAAATGTCTTCACAAATGATATTTTATCCAAACTATTTAAGGTCCTTTTTTTAGATTATTATTTCAATCAAGAGAACAAAGTGTTACAATCTTTTGTATTTGAATTGACTAAAAACTGCATGTGTTCATCTGTCAGCATGGCCGAGGGTTCGGTGTCACTAGAAGAGGTCAAGACTTCCTTCCAGAAGTTTGCAGTCCACGGAGACACAAAAGCTACAGGGAAGGAGATGAACGGCAAGAATTTTGCGAAGCTCTGCAAAGATTGTAACATCACTGATGGGAAGAATGTGACTACCACAGACGTGGACATCGTTTTTAGCAAAGTCAAGTAAGATTTCATTTTGACTTTGCACAGCAAAAACATAATGGTTTGAATGTGTGTCACAATGTGGTTATTGGTTTTCAGTAACTGAACAGTCAATTTTTAGTTAGTGACTCACTCTCTGTTGTTTTGGGACTACCTTACAGAATAAACTTCATGATTCATGTAAATGCAAAGGGTTTAAGACATCTCATAATCACATTATAGCATTGTAGCATCTACTCATTGCTTGTCCCTTGACAGTATACACTGCTCAAAAAGAAAGGAACACTTTGAAAGTGCATCAAATTTCACATCATCGTGTAAATGATCAACCTACAGAGGACTGAATTCAAAGACACCATGAAAGTCAAGGTAAAAAAAATGATGTAGTAGTTGAGTCCATTTTGCAAGTTCATTGCAGTAAGAATGGTACTCAGTAGTTTATTTGTCCCCCATGTGCTTGTATGCACATCTAACAATGTTGGGCTATACTCCTAATGAAACAACAAATGGTATCCTTGGGAAATATGCTACCAGATCTGGACCAAGGCGTCACTGAGCTCTTGGACAGTATGAGGTCCAACCAGAGAGCATTGGCTGGACAGAAACGTAATGTCCCAGAGGTGTTCTATTGGATGTAAGTCAGGAGAGTGTGAGGTCCAGCCAGTAGTATTGATTCCTTCATCCTCCAGGAACTGCCTACATACCTTCACCACATGAGACCGAGCATTGTGTGTGACAGTGGGTCCAAAGATTGCACCTCGATACCTAGTGGCAGTCAGGGTGCTGTTGCTTAGTCTGTCGAGGTCAAGGTGAAGTTTAATTATATAGCGCATTTCCAACAGCTCATGCTGCACAAGGTGCTTTAAAAACTAAAATGTAACTAAAATAAGTAAAATGCATGACAATAAAATATGAAAGAAAAGGAATAAAACAGTAAGACAATAAATGCAACTAAAACAACAACAGCTAAGGCGGTTAAAAAAAAAAAAAAAAA